CTGCCACTACTGTAACTGCTTCTGCAACTGTTGCTGCAGTCACTGTCTTCACTGCACCATTGGTTTCCAGAGCTAAATGATATTAACGTAAAAACCCTAATAATATCTTTGAACTTTTCTCAATTGTCAACCAAGGAATAAGAAACATCCAAACACTTTAATGATGTGGGAAGATAAACATCAGAGTTAAATGGGGCCCCAATGAATGCGACTAACAAAATCTCAACGTCAAAAGATTTTAAAAACAAAGGGACCACATATTATTCACATATCAGTGACCATTAAGCATAATCCTCAATTTTTATCCACCCACTTCCATTTTTATTCTCTGGTCCTTTTCAGCAAAATTTCCCTTAATAAAAGAGAAAGAAACGATATAGTTTGTTCTTTAAAAGATACTTGATTATAGCCACCACTTTCATTAAGGAGGGTATCTCTGTATCATGAAATAAAATGCAAGATATAGTAGTCAGAAAGCCATCTTAATGATTTCTTATTGTTATACAAAATCTGAATGATTTGTTATTGTTATACAAAATTAATAACCCTCAAACCTATAAACTTCGGAGCTTTGCTGTAGTGAACGAATCCTTTAACAAAGAATCAGATAACCCAACATATTTAAATCGGATTAAAAAGGAAAATATGTGGTGGTCATGTTTAGACCCATGAGCATGATCCTTAGCTCATGGTCATCAAAGTATGGTGACATGTTAGAATATAAATTATAATCTACGAAGACGTGTTAGAATATAAATTAGTAGAATATAAGTTAGAAGCCTGACACTCGCTACAACTTTCTGCAGAATTTTGATACAGAGATTCTTTAACACTTGCAACAAAAATAAACCTGCAGGTAACACGATAAGCAAAAGCACTACAATATATGAAATGAAAATTAATTCATTTGACTCATGGTACTATTTAACATACAAGCACATATTTTTTGGTACCACTAGACATTCTGATATGAGAGCCTTCACTCAATACACCTCATTACTAACACTCATCTATGCAATTTATTTACAAGGTATAACCGAACTGCCATCAGAAGAAAACCAAACAGAAAACAGCACAACAGAAGAGAAATGCCCAAATCTGATGAAGTGAATCCTCCACTCTCCTCTCTCTCTGACTGACACTATTCCCACTAGTTACAAGATTACTCAGCCTTGACAAATACATCTCCCCTCCTTGACTATTCCTTGAAAATAAAGGGAGTATCGCTATAGCTAAGCCTCCCAATACTCCCCCTGCAGTCGAGCTCCATGGCGAAGGATAGTAATGATGATGATGATGATGATGATTATGCCCTTCCATTGGTCGATGCATATTGACAGAAGACAAATCCCCTAAGATAACGGGTCTTTTTGGTATGTCGAGGGTTTTACTTTTAGGGGTTAGGTTGCTACTGCCACGGCCATAGAGGGGGACTAGTGAGTTTTCGGAGACGGGGGATTTGCAAACAGGGCATTGTTGAGGGACTGTGGTGTCAACTTTTAGCCATTTGTAGATGCAAGGCCAGCAGTAGAGGTGACCGCAGAATGTGACCACAGGATCAACTGCAGAGTCTAAGCATATGCTGCAGTCGAAGCACGTATTGGCTGATGCCCGTGTGTCTGATGAAGCTGAAGAATCAGTGAGATGGGTTCTTCTTGATTGTTCTTGATGAGGGAAGGATTTGTTCGTGGAGTTATCGAAGAGGTTCATGGTGGTTCCTTCCGGTTCCATTTATCTACAGAAAGAAAATATGGACGAGTTTTAGATAAAAACTAACAAATCATATGTAAGCAAAAGACAGGAAAAGATGTTGGATATCTTTATGAATTAACCAGACTCAGATCTAGTGATGGAACGAAATTTTAGTCTCTGGTCATGTCTCAATTTGTAGAAGTGCAAATCAACAGCAACTACAACAATGCATTTGTCCAAATTTTCAGGGCCAACCACATGAATCCTATTATTCCATATTTCCGTTCAGTTCAGTTCTATTAAGGGCAATCTTCATTAAGCTAAGGGTTAATATCACCAAGACCCCCTACAGTATATTTGTTTTGCATTTATTACCTCCTGCAGTTTCATTGTGCAGATGACCCTGTTTTGTTTTGTTTTTCCCCCTGCTTTTACCCTTGGTGAAACTTTGGCAGATATTGCTCCAGGGTGGAATTAGTGAGTATCTGAAGGTAAAAGAGTCAAAACAAATTTAACCCAGGGGGGTCTATCTGCAATAATGGAACTACAGGGTGGTAAGTTCAAAACAACAACACTACATGGGAGACTATGTGCAATTAACCCTTAATTTCATAAACAGAAATCGAGCTCTAGAGTTCCTGATTCCATTTCAATGGAGTAAGCATAATCTGTCTTAATTTATCAATCTATATGGGCACAACCCAATAATAGACCCAATAATAGTCACAAAACCCAATAATAGGGTCACAAAGTAGCACAATTATGTCGTACCTCAAAAGAAATGTACTAGGACTCTCAATATTTGATACTAAGAAAAATTGGTTTCATTCTAAACTCCAGCACATGGATTTAAATCAAAGGTTGCTAGATCGTGTCCCATTAGAAAGGTGCCAAAGGCAAGTTAGAGAAAGATTAACAACAAGACAAAATGTGGTAATGCAAAGCCAAGCGAGAACGAACGAACAGCCCTCCATGCGACTGAGCTTCTATCCAAAACAAGGAAATTGGAAAGAATGAGAGATGTATCGCCAACCGAAACGTTCAGGCAACGTTTCTCAAAGTAGGAGGATGTCTTCCAGAAACGCTCAAGGGACTTCTTTTCCAAATTATTTACTAATTAAGCCGCGTACTCATCATGAACACACCTGTATAGTTTCTTATTAGTGATTGCATCATCTTTGTCTATTCGATCTGTACCCTTTAGTAGTCAGCCTGATGCTAGCTCTATGATACTTGCAAGAAAAGTGCTTGGTATCTACTTGTTTCATATGTAATATTATGTATTCTGGTCATAACTCGTAAGTAATATCTTAGCAGTTTACACCAACAACTGTCTCCATTCGATCATAAACCAACTTCAGCCAGGAATCCAGTCTTGTATCTATGGACCACATAGCCAGCTTTTGTTTCCCCTTTCCTATCTATTCTGCAATTAGCCTTGTTCCTCTGCTCTATTCATCAAAATCCCCAACTAGCTCTCAACAAATAGCTCTAAAACTACTAACAACCTGATTAAAGACGTAGCTAAATAGGTAAGAGGGGAGAACATCAACATACCTCATCAGAAAAGCAATTTGAGCCAGACCCTAACTCTTTCTCTATGAAGGAAATGAGGGTAAGATTAGCGAAAGATAAAGAGAAACAACGAGGAGTAATTGTAGCAAAATTTGTAACTTCAGCCTTTTTTTTTTTGCCTTTTGCGAAATTAAATTCCCCTGCTTTTATCATCAAAATCCTCAATCAACAGTAAAAAAAAAAAAACCCACTCATCTACAAGAAGACGTAACTAAATAGGAGGAAAACGGGAAAATACCCATAAAAACTAACTTCAGCTTATATCCAAAGTCCAGAGCTTTAAGAAAACTTACTGCCTGCGGATGTTGAAGAAAGGAGGGGGTGAAATAAATTACTTAAATTGTTTTCTATTAATTACTTCAAGGGATTATTTAAGGGGTCATTATAGCAAACTTTGTAAGCTGAGCTATTAGATGTTTGTGGAAAGCTAGCGAAAATTAGTCTAATTCCTCTGCCCTATTCATCAAAGTCCTTGGTCAGCTCTCTATCAAATCACTCTCGCGTTACAAAACCCTCATTGATCACACACAAAAAACCAAATAGAGATCTTGTTAAATAGGAGAAACATTGAATTCCACATCAAAAACCAATTTTGAGCAAGACCCAAATCCAAAGTTTAGAGCTTTAAGAAAACTTACTGATTTCGGTAGATTCTGCCGCTTTCTTTCTCTCCCTCTGTACAAAACTTTATTGAAGAGCAGAAAGGAGCGGGGATTTTTGAAGGAAAAAAAAGGGGTGAGAATAGCGAGAGACGAAGGTGACGACGAATAGGAGAGCTTTGAACCTCCGCCCATCTTTTATTTTGTATTTATAAAGGAGAAGAGAGGGTAGGAGTGACGTCATATATCACCGCCCGAGAAACTAATTTGTTTTTAGATCTCAGTTCGTCAAATCTTCAACAATTACATAGTAGCTCCTAAAATTTTGAGAATCGCATATGTGGCCCTAAAATCCAACAATGTCTTGCAGAACAGACCCTCGGGTTAACTCACGTTATAGTAGGAGAAAATGTTCTGTAAAATTTAATAATTAGAGGCAAAGTGGTTGCTTTTTCCCCAGTGTTAAGTTTCCCCGCCTATTTCTTAACGGGTTTAAGTCCATCAAAAGAAACCCGAATCTATTTGAATCTTCTTCTCTAACAGTTATAAAATAACCTTAATCCAAAGCTAAGCTTCACAAATATCATAATTCACAAAAGTTCTTTAATAATTTTTCTTATGGTTTCTAGCAGTCTCATAACAAGGTATAATATATATGCATTAATCTAGTGTAATATCTCCTATGTAACTTCTTACACTTCCAACACCAAGTTATTTCCTTACTTTAATCTTTTTTATTCGGGTTATTTTCAAACAGATCCTTAAACACCCAACCGTAAAGAGACGCAATATAGTTCTATTTGTTGTGAATAGATACCTTGAAGTTCTACTTGTTCTGAATAGACCCATGATAATATTAGCTCAAGTAATATATCCCATATTGAACTTTTTAGACTCTTTTACAAGTGTTAAAAAATAGCAATGTCATGTCACGTCCCGAGCCAGCAAACCCATTGGCACGATGTAAGTTGTGGGACCCATAGAGTGCAACAACGATTTGGCTCAATCCACAGCTAAAATTGACTTGTCAATACTACACTTGGCTCTCAAGACCCATCATTTAAATTATTTAATCACTCAATCAATATCTGATGTGGAATTAAATGTACCCCACCTTAATTACATGATGTCCTCTTCGCGGCATGAAAATTTGTTCATCCTAGTATCACCATCAAGCAGTGGACTCTAGAGGTGGCCCTTACGGGCTTCTAGAGGTGGCTCCTATCGCACTCACGTGATGTAGCACTTAGTTCCGCATAGCACTTAATGCACTTAGTTTCGCATAGCACTTAGTTTCACATTTTCGGTTGGATAACTGTTACGATATCATTTGTCACGCCCCAAGTCCGTGCTATAAGTTGTGGGATCCATGGGGTGCAACACACTGTTTGGCTCAATCCACTATCAAAATTGACTAGTCAATGTTACACTTGGCTCACAATACCCATTATTTAAACCATTCAAACAATCAATATCCAATATTGGACTGAATCTTGAGGTATCACAAGCAATTAGGTGTCTATCCTTAGTAATAGAACTATAAGGGGTCTATCCGCCTCCTCAAACATCTTTAACGATTTTAAGAGTGAAAAAAAATTAATTTAGGGGATCTATTTGCATCAAGTAGAACTACATGAGATCTATTTACAATGAATAGAACTACATGACTTCTTTTTATAATTGAGTGATACTACAATAGTCTATTCGCAATTAACCCTTTTTAATATCTCCATTACAATCTAATTTAATCTCTTTTAAGTCTAATTTTAATCTAGTTTAGTGTTAAGTCCAGTTTAGTTCATGTTAAGTCTAGTTTGGTTCATATTAAGTCCAGTTTGATTCGTGTTAAATCCAGTTTGGTTCGTGTTAAGTCCGGTTTAAATCATTTTAAGTCCAATTTAAATCGATTTAAGTCTAATTTAAATCTTGTTAAGTCTAATTTAAATTATTTTAAGTCTAATTTAAATTGGACTTAACTAATTTAAATCTTGTTAAGTCTAATTTAAATTATTTTAAGTCTAATTTAAATTGGACTTAACATGAAATTAGACTTAAAATAAAAAAGTCTAATTTAAATTATTTTAAGTCTAATTTAAATTGGACTTAACATGAAATTAGACTTAAAATAAAATGAAATAGACTTAATATGGATTATATGTTAAGTTCAATTCGGTTCATGTTAAGTCCAATTCGGTTCATGTTAAGTCCAATTTATATCATGTTAAGTCCAATTCAGTTCATGTTAAGTCCAATTCGGTTTATATTAAGTTCAATTTAAATTATGTTAAATCTATTTCAATTTCTTTTAAGTCTAATTTCATGTTAAATCTAATTTAGTCCATGTTAAGTCAAATTTAATTTCTTTAAGTCTAATTTAAATAATGTTTTGTCTAATTTAACTTGTTTTAAGTCTAAAAACAAGTTGAATTAGACTTAACATGAATCAGGTTAAGTCTAATTCAACTTGTTTTACGTCTAATTTTATGTTAAGTCCAATTTGGTTCATCTTAAGTCTAATTCGGTTCATGTTAAGTCTAATTTAATTCCTTTTAAGTCTAATTTATATCATGTTATGTCTAATTCAACTTATTTTAAGTCTAAAAATATGTTGAATTAGACTTAACATGAATCATGTTAAGTCTATTTTAATTTGTTTTAAGTCTAATTTCAATCATGTTAAATTCCTTTTAAGCCTAATTTAAATCATGTTAAGTCTAATTCAATTTTTAAGTCTAATTTCATGTTAAATCTAATTAAATTAGACTTAAAACAAGTTGAATTAGACATAACATGATTTAAATTAGACTTAAAAGAAATTAAATTAGACTTAACATGAATTAAATTGGACTTAACATGAATTAAGTTGGACTTAATATGAAATTAGACTTAAAACAAGTTGAATTAAACTTAACACGAATTAAATTAGACTTGAAGAAATAAGTTGAATTAGACATAACATGATTTAAATTAGACTTAAAAGGAATTAAATTAGACTTAACATGAATTAAATTGAACTTAACATGAAATTAGACTTTCATGTTAAGTCTAATTCAACTTGCTTTTAGACTTAACTTGAAAGAATAGTGGAGATAAGAGAATTTTTAGGTTTTTTTATTTTTTTTATTCTCTCTCTATGCTTAGTTGGCAAGTAATAATTGCTAAAGAATGACTGCAGAACATATATCTCCAATTTAAGGACTGCATCACATGAAGTTTTTTACTTTTGAAACCTTGATACAATTTTCCCTAACATTTTTTGCGAAGAAACATCCAACAGAGTACGAATCTTTAGATTCGTTCAAAGAAGATCAGGAACCTTTGGAAGTTTAGATTGTACTAATTTTTGTAATTTCAGAGGCCCTGATTGATTGCTTTAAGTCAACGATTATAATGTTCTATATATCACTAATTAATAACATTATAATGTTCTATATATAACACTAATTAATAACACTATAATGTTCCCCTAAGCACACGTTTCCTCCTTTTGTATATATATAACATTAATTAATAACATTATAATGTTCCCCTAAGCACAAGTTTCCTCCTTTTGTAATTAATTTATAGTGAAGCTTATCAAGATGACACGTTTCCTCCTTTTGTAATTAATTTATTGTGAAGCTTATCAAGATGGCCGAACATAAAAGAGGAGCTAAATAGACGCAGTCCTAACTAATTTTGGGTAACAAAGCTTGCATGTCTTTTAGAAGTTATTCATAATTTATTGGGTTATTTGCAAATATGCATTATTGTATTGTGTTTGTTAACTCTTTAAAACTGGGCGAGGTTTGATCCTAATACAGTTAAATTTTTTTTTTGGAAATGACCTTGTTTGTTTTAATTATTTTTTTAGTTTTAAACCGATTTAGTTATGAACTGAGGATCTAGTCGACAACAACACTGCTTCTATTTAGAACCGTACAAGATCAACGAGTTCTTAAACACGGTTTTTTTTAGTCCCTTTCATGTAAAACCTGGCTCCTACGATAAAGAAAATTTTCCATTGGTTATTATGCATGGAAATCTCGTGAGAATGTTCTTAGCAGATTGGCAAATTCTAACCATCACTTGGTTTTTATGAGAGTTTAAAAGCTAACGGTAAAATAACGTTGGTACAAAAATCATGATACATGGATCGAGTCCATTATTAGCTTTGGAAGAGGGTTTGGAAAAAGTTATTAATTGCAAATGATGTAATCAAACTTAAACCCACTTACAGAAGCAAACCGGTTGGCCCAACTCAAGTGATTAATTTGTGTTTTAATTTGTGTTGGTAATTAAAAGCTTCCAACAATTGATTGCTTTAAGCTGAAGAAACTCATCGTCGTCTTAATAAAACCTAGGCCAATGACAACTTAATTAATGCAAAAACTACCTCTTTTCTCATAAGTTCTAGTGACTAAATATATCTTTTGTTTTCTTGACTTGGTCATGAATTCTCTCATCCGAACCGGAAGCATTATTTTATCTTATTTTTTATTTTTTTTATTTTTGTCAATATCACAATCAATTTGGTAGACGTACAACTCATCAAAACTACCTCTTTTCTCTCTCTTCCACATATTCATTATACATCCCCGTCCATTTCATTACTTTCCTAAGACTATAGATTAATTAATCACATATAGGCCATGTTTAGATTAGTTACTATTTTGAGTTGATAAGCCTTTATCCTCTAGAATAACGTAGACATGTGTTTGGTTCAAAATTTAGGAGGATATATTTAGTCCTTTAAAACGAAATAGTCTCAAGCTTCTGCACTAAACAATGGGAGATCGAAGATGGTGTTACGTAGTCTGTGTGTTATTTATTACTCACTTAATTGGGATTAAATCTACAAGAAACTCCCTTGCTCTTTCCCCTAATTTTTTAAAATTACATGGAATATTCAACGTCTAATTATTTCACTCGCCCGCTCGATCACCATCCGTTCTATCTTATATGAGTCGGTTTTAAGACCACGTTGAGATGATTTAAGTGGGCTTGAAATTTGATGTTTCGATTGAAGGAAGTTCTCTTGGACGCTATGGCACTGGTTCCTGAGAATCACGCTCTTTAGGTTCAACAAACTAAATATGGATTGGTATGCACCTATCTTTACCCCTGCAGCTATATTATTAAGCGCGCGTATCCGTGCACTTCTATCTCTTTAATATTTTGTTAATATATCACCTTTGATATATAGTAGCTA